CCCCCCCCCCCTCTCTCTCTCACACACACACACACACACACACACACACACGAGGGGGCAGTTGTGTGACTCCCACAGCCTGGCCATCACCCACTGTTTAAGCCTAGCCTCTGGCTGCATGCCAGGAGAGACTTGGTGTCTGGGGCCCCTGCCTCTCTTTCTTCATTTCCAGCCTTGACAAAGAGCTAGAGACCAGAAGTAGGGCAGGCTATCCTCTGACTGGGGAGGCTCAGAGCCCCTCCTTTTGTGCATTGGAACTAATTTGCCCGCCAAAGCACAGACAACCAAGCCACGATAAGCAGGAAGAAGGAATCTAATCCAGGAGAGCGTGTAGTACCGCCCAGGCCACCCACGAGGCAATGGGACCAGAGGAATCTGTGGGAACTGAGATCTGTGTCAAGGACAAAGCCTTGGTGTCATCTCCTCCCTCTTCCCACTTGGTCCAGGATGTTCCTGTCTAAGCCAGGAGAGACTTTACTATAGATCCCCTGAAAACACACTGTTCCTCCACGTCTCCTCCCCACTGCTCTTCCAGGGCCTCACAAGCTTGACCTTGGACCTGGCATGGGTTCTCCCTTAGACCAGCTGGGCTTGCGACCCAACTTTGTTGTCTACCAGCTGTGTGAGTGAATGGCCCAAGGTCCCTGAGTGGGGAAGGTCCTTGCTTTTGATCTGAGAATAGCAAGGCCAACTGAGCATAGATCTTTTTTTTTTAATTTACTGAGGATTGTGGAGTAAGGGCCGCAGTTAGTAGGGAAGTGGCCTCCTTGCCGCTGCAGAGAATGAAGGAAGAGTCCTCCCTTTGCTCTTGTGACTCTCCCTTGGTTGGCTCTAGACCCAACCCTGGAAGTAGGACTTGGCATTGCTGTTTTAAAGGTAAGGAAGCTGGTTAGCTAGGACACGTGGCCCAGGTGGGATGTGACAGTGGCAAAGCTGGCATTAAGCACCAGGTCCCATGGGGCCAAGAGCAGGCGCATTCTTCTGCACTTATGGAGCTGCAGAAGTTGCCCCCCACCTGTGCCACTCCCCACCTTGTCCAGCAGACTGTCACCCACCCCCGTTTCCTACCCGCTGTGTTAGTGAGGGCGTGGAGAACTACTGTAGCAGCTGGATCTCTTCAGGGCAGCCACCTTCATATTCATATTCAGGAGTTGTGATAAACTCCAGGAGACATGACCTGAGTTAAAGACAAGCTTGCTAGGAAAAGGGACCACTTGCAGGTCAAGGACAGAAGACAGCCACACGCATGCACTTCTGCAGCCCTGTTGCCTCTTAGAGAAGCGGGCAGGGCTAAGGCATGTGCCAGATGTTAGCTGGGCTTTACACCAGTGAGGGCTCTTCCCCACAACTTTATCTATAGAGAAATTATGAAAAGTACTCGTATCTGTTGCGGAACAGGCATGGCTTGGAGCTGTCGGTCATCTGGCGGTGAGTTGGCAGCTAGAACTTGTCTGGGAAGTCCCTGGCCTTCACACTTGCGATCTGTGAGATTATGAAAATGGCCTCAACAAAGAAAAGACACTCTCCCTTCCTGAGGAAGCTCACCCTTTTACTAGGGGGAGGGAGGGACTCCCACCGCTCCCCTGTTAGCTCATTGTCCCAGCAGTGCAGGAGAAGCCAGCACTAGAACCACGTTAGATAGCTCCACTCCCTGTGTCCTAGGAGACCCTCAGTGTTGGTGCCCTGCCGTAGGCAGAAAGCTCAACCACTGGGTTCCTGGATCTTACTTACATGCCAGGCCCCAGGCCAGAATGACCACACTGAGATCTGTACTTGCTTTGACTCTGTCTACATCCAGTAGCTTTCGCTCTAACTGTCAGGTCTCCCGTCCTTGCTCTTCTATAAAAGGCCCATCACTCCACTGACCCATTTCTGCTGACCAGCTGCTTTCTTGGGTCTCCACAGTCGGATAAAAGTCAAACTCCCACCACTTGCCAATGCTGTCTCTTCTAAGTTTTCTGGCCTCTCTCCTAAAGTACCCTAAAACAAGCAAGAATAATCTGCCCAGGGATGCTTAGCCTGGCAATGCTGTACACACATCCTATTAACTTCAGGACCACGGGGGAGCGGCTAGTTTGTTCCAAATTAAAAATAGCTGGAAATGGCCCTGATATAGCAGGAGGGCACTGTGGGCTGTGATGCCATGATACAATGAAGAATGGAGCAAACCAGGTTTTGTTTGGCTCTAAGACCCGAGTCCCCAAAGCCCCATTCCCTTCATTATAACCCTCACCTTCTCCAATCTTCTTAAGGTTATGGGATCATCCCTGAACGCTTCTGTCAACCCAGATCCTAAGTTCCCTAAAACGGTTGATTCCTAAGGGCAGAGTAGCGCTGTTGCAATCCTGGATGGAAGCAACGTACAAGAAGGAAGCACAGATAAGTTGCCAGAGAGTGTGTTCAAATCTGCCAGGTCTGGCAGGCTTCCCTGGGGCAAGACAACTCCCCATTTTGAACTCCTTCTTCATTTATACAATGAGGTCAGGGATATTCATGTTCTGGAGCTACTGAGACTGAATGAGATAGCCTATAACACACACA